TATCTGCCACAACCCAAGCCTTGGGGAAAGTTCCCCAAATACCCACAATGCCCAGGCAGAGATGAAGGTAACCAGGGTCTGTCCTTAGTGCTGTTCACTACTCAACCTGTGACACCATTTTTCTGTCACAAATGATATGGCCCACACAAGGCCACAGCTCTGGAGGTGGACACTGCTCATCTACTCTTTGAGAAATTGTACAAAGAGGGCTGGGGAGATGGCTTAGTGGGCAAGAGCACTGGCTACATAGGCATGAGACTCTGAATGAAGACTCTAGCATCTATGATAAAAAAAAAATTCTGGGGGCTGGAGAGATGGCTCAGTGGATAAGAGCACTGACTGCTCTTCCCGAGGACCCAGGTTCGATTCCCAGCACCCACATGGCAGCTCACAACTGTCTGAAAATGCAGTTCCATGAGATCTGACACCTTCACACCAATGCACATAAAATAAAGATAAATAAATCATTAAAAAGAAAAAATTTAAAAAAAATTAAAAAAAAATTCTGGAGCTGGGCTGTAGTGGTGCACATCTTTTTTTTTTTTTTTTTTTTTTTTTTTTGGTTTTTCGAGACAGGGTTTCTCTGTGGCTTTGGAGCCTGTCCTGGAACTAGCTTTGTAGACCAGGCTGGTCTCGAACTCAGAGATCCGCCTGCCTCTGCCTCCCGAGTGCTGGGATTAAAGGCGTGCGCCACCATCGCCCGGCCAGTGGTGCACATCTTTAATCCCAGCATGCAGCAGGCAGAGGTAGGCGGATCTCTGTGAGTTCAAGGCCAGTCTGATCTACAAGAGCTAGTTCCAGGACAGCTAGGACTGTTACACAGAGAAACCCTGTCTTGAAAAACAAACAACAACAACAAAAATGCTGGGAATGGCCGTGTGTCCTCGAAGCACATTAAGCAACAGTAACCTACAATTATCTCATATTCTGCCCTCCTCTTTCTTTCTGCCTCTTCTCTCTTTCTCTCTCTGTTGGGTGATGTTTTCACTCTTTTGGCTTTTTGAGGGGCCTACCACTCAGCTCCCAAATAAATCACACAGAGGCTTATCAGTTGTGAATGCCTGGCCTTAGCATGGCTTGTTTCTTGCCAGCTTTTCTTATCTTAAATTATCCAACTACCTTTTGCCTCTGGGCTTTTATCTTTCTCTATTTCTGTATACCTTACTTTACTTCTCTCTCCATGGCTTGCTCTGTAGTTTGGTGTCCTGATGTCCTCCTCTCCTTCTTCTCTTGCCCCGTTTCTCCTCCGATTTATCCTGTCTGCCAGCCCTGCCTATCCTTGCTCCTACCTCGCTCCTGGCCACTCATCTCTTTATTAGGACCATCAGGTGTTTTAGACAGGCAGAGTAACACAGCTTCAGAGTTAAACAAATGCAGCGTAAACAAAAGTCACACACCTGAAAATAATATTCCCCAACATCTCTATCTCCCTCCCCGCTTCATGTTTTGAGACAGAGTCTCACTATATATCCCAGGCTGACCTTGATCGTCCTCCTCCCCTCCTCAGTGCTATTCCAGGGGTATGTTGTCACGTCTGTGCTTTACCCGAGTCTTGTAAGTGAAGTGATGTGTTTGTGGGACTAGCCTGTTTCAGCAAGCATGAAGTCTTCACCAGCCATTCATGGAGCCTGTGCCCACAACTTGCCTTCTTTTAGAGTGAGATCCAACTCTGTTGCTCAGATAAACAACATTTTGCTTATCCATTTGAGCAGTTGATGGAGATCAGGGTGCATTCATCCCTGGGCTAGTGAGAACAATGCAGCTATGAACACGGGCGGGTGGGTGATTTGTAATATGTATTCATTGTGAATGTGCACACGGGAGAGTGCAGGTGTGAGCTGGAGTTACAGGTGCTCGTAAGCCACCTGACTTGGATGCTGGCATCTGAACTGCAGTCCTCTGCAAGAGCACATGCTGCTGACAGATAAGTCTCTCCCAGCCTAACAGATAAGTCTTAGAGACCCTGGTTTCAATTCTTTTGGTGTTTACCTAAAGTGGAAAGGGTTGTTTGTATGGTAATTCTATACTACTACTACTACTACTACTACTACTACTACTACCACCACCACCACCATTCTTTGACACAGGGTCATTGTATCACAGGCTGCTCTGAGACTCATCATGTAACCAAGGATGACTCTGGGCTTCTGCCTCCATTTCCTGCCTCTGGGATTATAGTCATGCACCACCACACCCAGTTTCTTCTATTTTTACTTTTTTGAAGGGCAGTAACACTCTTCTCACGGCAGCTGTGTCTTTGAGCCTTCTCCTGAGGTTTGGGTTTTGTTTTGTTTGGAAACAGGGTTTCACGCTGTGTCCTAGATTGGCTTGGAACTCATAGCAATCCTTCTGCCTCGGCTGCTTGGGTGCTGGGACGTAGGCTGGATCTTAAGTGTCTCTTGAAAGGTATTTATTGAAGACTTGGCTCCCAGCTTAAAGCTGCTGTGGGTTGGGTTGGGGTTTCTTGAAGGGGTGAGGCCCTCTAGAAGGAAGCTAGGTCTTTGGAGGGAGATTTGGGGGCCCTGGTCTCTTCCTCCTTCTCCCTCTTATGTATCTTCTCCACAAGGACAGCTGTTTCACTCTAGCGCGTCCACGTTACCAGGATGCTCTGCCTCACCATGGGTCCTCAGAGCGACAGGAAGCAATGATCACAGGGCTGGACTTTGTCTCTTTATAAACTGCTTATGCCAGGGGCTTGCAGTGGTAACTGAGACTGAGTGACATCTTCTCACAGGTAGTACACGGGGTTCCATCTTCCCCACATTCTTCTCAATACTTCTGTTTCTATTTCGATTAATTGCCACCCAGACTCAGAATTACTGCCCCCTCTGGAGAGACCCACCTACTCACTCTGGTTCTAGCTTCCTCTCCTTCTCTTTCTGGCTACCAGTGCCCTTTGCCTTTTAACTTCCACCATCCAAAAAAGCAAGCGAGGGAGAGAAAGGCCACCAAGTAAAGCAGGTCACGTGTGCACACGTGAGTACGTGAGGAAGGAGTCACTAGGAGTGCTCAGAGCCCCCCCCCCCCGTGGACAGCATGGTGGCGCACCTAAGGACTGGGAAGCTGGTAGTTACCCCCGCCCCCCCATCACAAGCCTCAGGCAAACAAAACCATTCAGAAGGACAGCAGCCAGGTTAAATGGATGTCCATGAAGGCTGCAGCCAGTGAGTCTAACCTCCAACTCTAATGCAGGGAATAATTCCAGAACTGAAGGATGAGCTGTTCTCAGTTTTAGATGCCCTGGGGCCAGGCACAGCAAGGCCACCCGAGGACCAGATACAGGCAGGGTGCTAGCGTGATGGGGGGGGCACAGGGTCACCCACTCTCCATGAGCCCTGCATCCTCCACAGCTGTCACCCTTGACTGAGTATTCTCTTGTAGGAGTGACTTCCACAGCCTTCTCCCAATCTTGCTTTCCATAGCAGTTAGATTGGACTCTATGAGCACAGATAGGGCTGGGAGAGGTGGTATATAGCTCTACTTCTCTGTATCTAGGAGGCAGAGGATCACTGTGAGTTCAAAGCTAGTCTGGGCTGTGCAGTGAGTTACACACTAGACAAGCTTATATCCTGTGACCTTGTCGCAAAAGAAAATAAAAACATAAGTCATAGGCTTGCTATTTCCAGGTCCTCAAAATATAGTCAGTTCTTCAGAATATGTGCAAGCTGGCCCTAGAGGCAGCTCTAGCCTCTTAACCTCTCCTGAACTCCACCTACCCAATCTACAGGGCTCCTATTCCCAGGACTGGCCATGCTCTTTGCTGAACAGGGCCATCCCTTGTCTCCAGATTTGCCTCACATTCTACGACTCCTTCCTGCTGTATCTCCAGATCTAGCTATTCCATGAAGTTTATTTACCCAAAGTCACACATAAAACAAGCCAAGATTTGAATTTTGGCTTCTGAGATCCAACACTAAGTAGGGTTGACGTTAACTCTCAACACAGCTGGTATGCCCCCCACAGGCATCTCAGGTCTGCAGCCAGGACCCACACCCTAGCTGTCTGCACCCTGGGGCCAGACACATGTTTTTGATGACTGCTACGTGGTGCTGAGGGAAAGAGATAAAGAAGTAGGCGAGGCTGCTTTTAGCTGTTGCCCCCTCCCTTGGGAAGAACATAGTTTTTGTTGTGTTGCTGTTGCTTTTACACCCCCCTCGCCCCCTTGGGAGAAAGCTGGAACAGAGGCAGCTTTGGGAGGTGGGAAAGCCGGAAATCAGTCCTTGGGGAAGCTCTTTCCAGAAAGAGTGTGTGTCTTGACCTGCTATCACCTGGTCATTATCAAGAAACACAATACATGTTTCCAATAACACAATATGTTAAGAGGCAAGAGCTTGTGAGTATTCTATGCAGTAGAAAGCAGGGAAAGGGAACAGGTCCACATCTAGACTCTGGTGACTTAGGGAACCCTTTCCCAGACTACATAGAGGTAGGTGGTCCCAGCTGGAGCCCCTGCCCACCAGCTGACACTTCCTACAGGAGTATGGGTCCCTCCATAAGTGTCCAAAGGCCAGCTTCTGCTTTTACTCCTTGCTTCCAACCAGCATCAAGGGACAGCAGCCTCCTTTTGGAGAAACTGGGGCCTCAACACAGAGGCCCTTCTCTGTCGCAAGCTCCTTGGTGTGTGTCCATACTTGAGCTCAACAGACCACCACATTCCTTCTCTCCTCTGCGGCCAGGAAGTATCTCTGACTGTGTATCAAGACGGAATGGGGTTTGGCCTGCCCAGGGAAGCATTGACGCTCTTGAGAAACTCTATCTGTTGTGAAACTCAGAAAGGAAAAGGCAGTTGGTGACAACACTCTTTTCCATCCCTTCGACGCTACACAGAAATTCATCAGCTCTGAGCCTGTGCTGAAAATGAACTTATAATTCCACTGTGCCTGGGGGGTTTGAGGCTGAGTGTGACATTAACCCAGGCACTGCCAGGGACTGCTGGGGGGCAATGATGCAATGGAGTGTCCATTTCAACTGTCTGTCTCCAGCAAAGCACTGTCACTTACCTCGGTCACGATGGTAGACAAGAAGACGTCATTGCTGTACTCCCAGCCATCCAGGCAGCTCTCCTGCTCCAGCTGCCCCAAGTCCACATCCAGTCCTGGTTCCAGTCCCAGCGCAGAGAAGTTGGCGATAGTAGCCAGTCGGTAGCGGCGGCAGCTCTGAGGCACCTGTCGTCCGTCCTTCGTCTCCAACGGGATGCTGTGGTTGCGCCACGAGCTGCTCAGGTTCACAGTGTCCGGCACAAGGCAACGGTGCTCCGGTGACCCTGCCAGGAACACGACTGACATCCCATTGAAGCCATTGGGGATAATGCTGGCGCTGAGAAGGAAGAAGATGAGGCGCTGGAAGGGGCCCCAGTCTCCTAGGAAGGCGGTCACCTCGTCGTAGTCCCGCATGCTCCCAACCTTTCCTTCACAATTTGCAGGAGAGGGTAAAAGAGGATCGGAAGATTGAGGCTCCCGGCCGGGGCCTTCCCGGTGTGGCTGAATGCAAGCGGGCTGCAGGTGCTGCAAAATCTCCCAGGAGCTGGCGCGGAGCTGGGGAAAGCCGAGTTCTCGGGACCACACCCCCTGTGCGGGCGAGACACCTACCTAGAGGCTAGTGCATTTACCGAGAGAGGCGGTGCTCCCGGGTCGGCTCCGCCTCCAGCTGGGTTCCACGCTGGGCCTCCAGCTAGAATCTGCTGTGCAACTTGCCTGCAGCAAGTCCGGAGCTCCGATTTTCTCAGCCCCACGTGGGAGGGTGAGCAACAGGGAGGGGCCGCGTCGGGAGAGCAAGGTCTCTAAGGGGTTGACCCTGGCTTCAATGTCCGCGTCGTGCCAGGCCTAGCCCGGGGGTGGTGTCCGTTGTTCCACAGTGCCAGTCTGAGCTCTGGCTGGCGGACGCGACACTTATTCAAATCCGTGCTCGCAGGAGACCTCTGTGGGTGACAGGAATGCCACCTCTTCACACACACCAGCGTGGGAGTTCACTTCTGTGCCTTGGCGTGGCTCTCGCTCATCACTGGACTGCGAGGGACTGGAGAAGTGTCCTTGGAACAGCAGGATCCTCACCTTGAAAAGAAGCAACTGTGGCCTGGGACGCGCCAAGTCAAGTCGTGCTGAGTCAGAGACCCGCCCTGGACTAAAAAGGCCGGGTCACCGGCCTCCGAGTTGTCCCTGTGTCCTCTTGAAGATTCCCTGAGGCCTCTAAGGAGGCACCAGAGGGACGCAGGCCCACTAGGGAGCAATGGAGTCGTATTTTTCACCACAACAGGGCTCTGATGTTTGTCCTTTGGCACGCTCCATGCACCCAGGGTTCTTTATTGCGGCAGGGTGCCAAAGCCTTTTGGACAGAAAAACCTTCTATTGCAGAAAGGCCGGTTCCCTGTCCAGGAATCAAGGGTGTAAGGAAGAGAACGAGGACAAACTAGTGAGATTTGGCTCTCAGATCTGGCAGGGTGGCCAAAGGAGGGCCGAGACAGCCTTTTCCTCTCTCTGCTCAATATCCACATCTAAGGCCCTGGGAACACCTTGTCCTAGCCCAGGCTGGAACCTATGGCCTGGGATCCATGGGGCTGGTGATATGGCAGACTGAGGAGCCCATCACTTTGCACAAACCGCTTGCTTCTCCAGACCCTCCCCGAGAGACTGAAGGGGACTTCTGTTTGTTCTTGTTTTTGGCAGCCTCCAGTCTTACCCCTACTGTTAGGCTGACTTCCCACCACTTGGAACTTCAGTTTTCTTTCCTGTCGTTTAAGACCATGCTGCCTAATGTGCCAGAACAACTCTGGTTTATGCCTTCTATTTTTATTTTACTTGTTTGTTTGAGACAGGGTCTCTGTATGTAGCCATGACTGTCCTAGAACTCCCTATGTAGACCAGGCTGGCCTCAACTCAGAGATCTGCCTGTCTCTACCTCCTGAGTGCTGGGATTAAAGATGTCTGCCTCTATGTCTGTCTTCCACTTCAAACTACTAAAAAAACCCAACCAGAGACAAGAACTTATATGAAGCAGTTTACTTTTGACTAATGATCTCTTGGAAAATATTGTTTTAAGCTGTGTGACTTTTGTTTATGCTGCATTTGTTTACTCTGTGAAGATGTGATTCTGTGCATGTCTAAATCACCTGACAGTCTAATAAAGAGCTGAACAGCCAATACTGAGGCAGGAGCAAGGATAGGCAGGGTTGACAGGCAGAGAGTATAAATAGAAGGAGAAAGGAGGCAAGGGGGAGCAATGAAGAGCAAGGGGAGGAGGATTTCAGGGTCAGCTACCCAGCCAGTCATGGAGTAAGATATACAGAAGTTTAAAAGGGAGGGGGGAAGCCCAGAGGCAAAAGGTAGCCGGGATAATTTAAGTTAAAAGCTGGCAAGAAGCAAGCCAAGCTGTGGCAGGGCATTTATTAGTAATAATTAAACCTCCATATGTTTTATTTGGGAGCTGAGTGGTGGGGTCCCCCAAAAGAGCCAAAAAGGCCAGAAGAGCAAAAAACAGCAAAATATTAAATGTTAGTTGACTAACATTAAAATACCAATACTATTAGAACATTAACGTGTACCCCAATGCCTGGTTGGTGCAATGTGAGGCATCAGATATTGACCAGGGCTTTGTGGGTGCTGGGCAAGCACTCCACCAATCAGGTAGACACAGATCTTGCTAAGATGTCCAGGCAGCTATTAAACTCCTCTGGGCCTGAGGGATCTTCCCACTTTAGCCTTGTGCCCAGCTCAAATAGTTCTAAGTCTATAATAGATTTCTTTCTCATTCATTTCTGTTGTCATGGTACAATACCCCAACAGGAAGCAACTTAGGAGAGAAAGGGGTTTATTTGGGCTTACAACTTCAGGTCAAAGTCTCTCATTGTGGAGAAGTCAAGGCAGAAACTTCTAACAACTAGTCATAGCCACAGCCAAGAACCCAGAGAAATGAATGCATGCTCACTTGTGCTCAGCTCGATGTTCCCACTCTTATACGGTTCAGGATACCCTGCCTCGGGAATGGTGGTGCCCACACTGGCGTGGGTCTTCCCACATACATTCATTTAAGATGATCTCCTACTGGCATGCTCACAGTTCAACCCAATGTAGACAATCCCTTACTGAGACTTTCTTCCCAAGCAATTCTAGGTTATGTCAAATTGACAAAGTTAACCATCACAAGATCTTAGCCAGAGAAAGAACTGGAATAAAGTGCAGACAGATTTTTCTTTGGGCTGCCAGTTCACAAAAAGACAAAACAAATATGACACAGAGACTTATTGTTAATTATAAAAGCTCAGTCTATAGCTTAGGCTTGCCCCACGAACTCTTATAACCTAAATTAACCCATTTCTATTCATCTACATGTTGCCACATAACTCATGGCTTTTACCTCCCCTGCATGTTTTATTCCCTCTTTGTTGGGCTGGCAACTCCACCTTTCTTCTTCCCAGAGCTCTCTCTGTCCAGAAATTCCTGCTATACTTTCTGCCTAGCTATTGGCCATTTAGTTTTTTTTTTTTAAATTAAACCAATCACAGTAACAAACTTTACATGGAGTAACCAAATAGCTTGCAACAATAAAGTCCCCACATTGCAGGAGGTATGAAGGTTCTTGTACTCACAGATAAGCACTAGGGGAACCAGGAATGTTGCTAGTTAAGCACAGGGTTGTTTCTTCAAAGGGAGGGATGCACAGCCTGTTATCTGCCCAGAAGGCTTGGGATGGACATAGTTAATAGCCTGATGATCTTTGCACCAGATCCTCCCCGGTCCCTTATCATGAGCTTGACTATCTACACAACCTATCTTTATGGACAATGTCACATGTACCTTACAAAGAATTTTGATACAGTTGTGTCTTAAGCTTTATTGTGCACATAGATTGAGTTAATTAACACTAGGGAAATTTTCACTGAATTGTGCTGTGCTTTAATACTCCAACACTTGCTACTTAGTCATGTTGAACCAAACTACCTCCTTGTCTTCCATGGATTGTTAAACTGCTGGCTGAATGATCAAAGAGACCCCTACACACATTATCAACAGTATTAGGAAGCAGTTGGAAATATGTTTACTGCATCTAGAGATAAGACTACTATATATAGATCTTCCTTTCGGGGCCACCAGCTTACAAAAAATGGCATGGAGACTTATCAATTATGAAAATCAACCTTAGCTTAAGCTTGTTTCTAACTCTTGTAACTTAAATTAACCCATTACTATTAATTTACTTTCTGTCTTGTGGCTTTATTACCTTATCTTCTTACTGTCCATTCTGCTTGCTCTGTGTCTCCTGGTGTCTACCTTCTTCTCCCCAGCATTCTCTCTGTCCAGAAATCCTGCCTAGCCATTGGCTGTTTGTTGTAGAAGGCCACCTGTTTGTTCCCCGCTGCTCAACCCCAAAATAACCACACAGAAGCTGTATTAATTAAATTACTGCTTGGCCCATTAGCGCTAGCTTCTTTTTTTTTAAAAAAAATTATTTATTTATTTATTATGTATACAGTGTTTTATCTGTGTGTATGCCTGCAGGCCAGAAGAGGGCACCAGACCCCATTACGGATGGTTGTGAGCCACCATGTGGTTGCTGGGAATTGAACTCAGGACCTCTGGAAGAGCAGGCAATGCTCTTAACCACTGAGCCATCTCTCCAGCGCCCTAGCGCTAGCTTCTTATTGGCTCACTCTTACATCTTTATTTAATCCATTTCTATTAATCTGTATATCACCACATGACTGTGACTTACCGGCAAAGTTCTGGCATGTCTATTCCCAGTGGCAGCTACATGACATTTCCTCTACTCTACCTTCTTTCTCCCAGCATTCAGTTTAGTTTTCCTTGCCTAGCTCTTTACTACCCTATCATAGGCCAAGGCAGATTTCTTTATTAACCAATGGTATTCACAGCATATAGAGGGGAATCCCACATCACCTCACCTTTTCTGTTTAAAAAAAGGAAGGTTTTAACTTAAACACAGGAAAATTACATATAACAAAACAAGCAAGATAAGCAAATATTACAGTTACAATATTTATATCTACTTTATCTTTTATCATAACTAAGGAAAACTATAATTATAACTATCTATTATTCAACTCCATCAAAGACTCCAGAAGGATATATTACCTAAGTAAGCAGAAAGTGCATTGAAAGGAACTTCCAAAACTCTAGAATTGACAGAGACATCACTGCGTGGACAGTCACCAAAGTTCTTCTGTACCATTGGAGCATCCATCTTCAGCCTACAGGCCTATAGTATCCAGCAGACTTTTCCATGAAGCAAGAGATTTCAAAGACAGTTCCACCTATATTGGCAGTTTGTCAGTCACTTTCTTCTGTGTCCTGCAGAATGTCTGGCAGACTCTTTCATGAAGCAGGAACTTTAGGCAAGTACAGAGGTCATTTTTGTGTGGGTCCTGCATGTCCAGTTCATACAGCATAACATCAAACAGTCCAGGCAAGAGCAGTTTCTTACCCAAATGGCTAATGAATGCCATAAGGAGCCTCTTTGATGCCCATCATCCTCTTGAAGTAGATTGGTGCTGCCAGGAGCAGATGTGTCTCATTGTCATGAAAAGTCCTAACTTCTTAAAACATTTTGAATGCTATATTCTGAAGGTCTTTGAAAGATTTGAAGAATACCTACCTAACTTAAATATATCCCTATATATCTAGAAAACCTAAGTAACATGACTGCAAGCTTGACTATTATAGATTATTATCTATTAACCTATATTTCTTAATTATAGATTATATTTTTAATGAACTACACAATCACAATACCTTAATCAAGAGCAGAAATATACATATAACAATACTGACTTAAAATTTGTATCAACAGACCAAGATTCATACCAATGCAAAGTATTCATCTCTATGCATTTCCCCCTTTAAATGTAAGCAAACATTTATAAACAATCATTTTGAGAATTTGGGTGTAGTTCTCTCCAAACTGCTTCCTGCTTTTTGTTGGGTGAAGTAATTTTTGGGGGGTGTTCATGGTGACCTTTTTTGGGGGGGGTCTTGGTCCATCAAACCGCATTAGTCTGGAAAAAATTCATAGGTTCCCATCATCTTTGGAAAAAAAGTAGAACCTCTTTTCCAAAGCAACAAATCCTTAGACCCAAATTTTAACGTCAAGATACCTTTATGTTGGTTTATCTTAGCAGCCTGTAAAATGAAATGTCTCTCTGTACTTAGCTCATTCACAGTCAAAAAATGTAAATAAAACACAATATTATACATAATCCAGACTCTCTGTGTATAATCCATCTTTACAATGCTTATTTTTCTTACTCTATTACTTTTTCTACAAGTTTATATTATCTTTACTCCTTTAATCTATTACTGTCTGTACTCTGTCTTTTTAAAGACTTGGTTTTTTTTTTAATGATTTCCTTCTTTTTATAACTCTCTATACTCTTTTTCTTCTCTCTCCCAAGCCTACATACATTTATCCAACACTGTGACCCATTTAGAGATCTTTTTATGTCTGAATCTGTCCTATTGCATACCTGTAATTCTTTTCTGACCAGGACAGCTTCTTAAGTGGTGGCATTGCTAGGGCAAACAAAGCCCGGCCTGATTGCTCCACCCAGTCAAACACGGCAGAAGTCTATTCACTGCCTCTGATACCACTGTGTTGGAGCCATGCTCATCAGTTTAACATTGAGAAGCGTGCAGTACATAAACCCTTTTTATCTGAATAAAAGCTAAATCTGCCATGCAGTGCAATGCATAGCCTGGAAATATCTTTGTGTGTGGTGGCAGGAATCAGCGGTGCTCTCCTGCCTGTGTACTCCTAGTACACCTGATCCTGCTGCCTACTCAGGCTGGGGTGTTGGTGTGCTCTGAACTACAGATATGGTCTCAGCTACTTTTCTCCTAACCCCAAGTAAGCATACAAGCACATGGGCCCACAAACCCCATTCAAGTGCTCCACAGTAGGACTTCCTGAAAGAGTCAAGAGTCATTTGACCCAGGAAGCTGCCATTTCAAAACCGCAAGTTTTTTATTTTTATTTTCACTACCACCAAAT